AGTGTGCGCTTCACGTCTCGTGGATACCAGAACGTAACGCGTGTGGTCCACCGATCATCCATGCGTCTGACCACATGTCCGGCCCATCGTTTCTTTGCGTCCCACGTGTACACTACTGTCACGGGATACCAGACGATTAACACATTGACGACCGCGCGCGTTTTGGCTTTTTTGGCCGTGTGGGACCGGGCCGATTTTGCGAGTGCGACCGCCGCACCTCGGATCCGTGAATTTTTATTGATAACTTTTTAAAGCACCAGTGGTACAAAAACATCTCAGTAACAGTCAATGCGTAGAAGGTAATAGAGTATATAGTGACGAAGTTCCGATAAAAGAACATGTAATGGTAATGAAAAAGGAAACTTTAGTCATTTTATCTGTAGTGGATGCCAAAAGCTCTTTTGATGTGGTTATACCAAGTGAAACATGTATTTTTCTGTCTCTTTAGATTTGCATTTACTTTCACTACCCTTTTTTATTGACGTGTTCATGAGAATAGCATGAAAACTATTAATGAACCAAGCCGCCAGTTTCGGTGAGCTTGGAAAACTTCTTCTAAACTGGAGCATATTTGAACAAACAATGACCTATGTCGTTCACAATAATGTTATGTTCTAATCCATAGAAGAGAGACAAACAATTCGGGAAAAAGCTGCGCATGCCCTAGAAAAAGGGATGATAAGGGTGAGACGCGGTAACGCGTCTCAATGTCCAACGAGGTGCGCAAAGTGAGACGCGTTACCGCGTCTCAATGTCGTCAATGTGTTAAACGCATGTCTGTGCTGCGCAAATTTGCGGCTTCTCTGCTCCCGGCGGTTAATGTTCAGCAATGTCCGCTCCAGCGCTCTTTGTGCGCGAGTCAACATCATCGTAGACGTCTTGTTCTCCGCCCACGTCTCGGATGCGTAGCAGAGTGCGGGCAGTACCGTAGAGTCGAATAGGTCAGCTCGTATCTTCTTGTCCGAGATGAGCTGAGCCGCCTCTTTGATGCTTCCCATTGCCGTCCATGCGCATTTCTTGCGCCTCATGATCTCTGCGCGCAAGTTGTTGTCCACGGAGATGAGTCGACCGAGGTACACATAGCAGTCGGTGTCCGGGAGTGCGGCGCCTCCGAGTATGATAGGTGACGCATCTGCCCATTCGTTCCGCATGACCATTGTCTTGTTACGGTTTATCGTGAGGCCAATGGCTCTGCCGACATCGTCCAACTCCTCCACCATCTGCTGTAGTTCCTTTTGGTCTTGACTGATGAGGACGATGTCGTCTGCGAAGCGTAAGTTAGACAACTTCTTGCCGTCGATGTCGATGCCTCTATCATCCCAGTCCAGCTGTAGCATCGCGTGGTTGAGGGCGGTGGTGAATAGCTTGGGAGAGATCGTGTCACCTTGCCTGACTCCTTTTTCAATCGGCACGCGTAGCTCTCGTTGAAACAAGCGGATGGTGGTGAATGTGTCCGTGTTGCATTGTTCCAGCAGGTTGATGTAGCACGGGTCGACGCCTGCATGGTGTAATGCGTTCCAGACAGAGTTGAGCTCCACACTGTCGAATGCCTTCGCATAGTCGATGAAGCAGAGAAGGAGTGGCTGCTTGTATTCTTTGGTCCGCTCGATCAGCTGCGTGACGGTGTGGATGTGGTCCATACAACAGAAGCCCTTGCGGAACCCGGCCTGCTCCACTGGTTGATAGTCGTCCAGTTGTCTTTCCAGTCTGTTTAGAATAATCTTCGTGAACAGCTTGTACAACTGTGAGAGGAGCGCAATGGGACGATAGTTCTTCATTTGATCGCGCTCGCCTTTCTTGAACAAAAGCACCGTATTTGACGTCTTCCACTGGTCCGGGATCTTCTGCTCGTCCAGGTACTTATTATAGCGCTTGGTGAGCTGCTTGATGACAGTGTAGGACGCCGACTTCAGAAAGTCCACTGAGATGCGGTCCGGTCCGGGTGCTTTTCTCGGCTTCATCTGACGTAAGGCGTGCTCTATCTCCCACTCTTCTATGATGATGATTTATTATCGATTCAATTATAATTATTTAATGAGACCCGGAAATATCTGAAAATATGGTGCTGACCTGTCGTGTATATAAATAATAACCAAAGGTGGCGACCACTGTTGCGTAGGTGGCGAAGTATGTGACTGGCTCCATGATATCCCATGAATACTCCCACCATGTCAGTCGCGCGAAGAGGCCTTAACTTCAAAACATAAACAACATCAATTGCTTTGATTACGGATTTCGTGGATCAAGGTGTGGTAAGTTAACATTTCAAGGAAGGGAGCGCTAAAAAATAAGTGCCTCCGTAAGTGAAGTAGCCGCTCCTTTCTCTCATTAACATGAAATCTGAAAGGTGCTATTGTATGGATTCTGCCAAGTTCTCAGGCTGGACAGCCTACGATCACCACTGTACTTTGACCAACTGAACTTTGTGATTCATGCTTGAAAAGCGCAAGCGTGACACCTGCATAAACGATGTCTTCACCTTCCACCTCCATTTTGGGAGGAAGTATCGACGAGTTCCCCAAAAAGAAGAATCGAGTGGTGGACGAGAGAGCGTGTTTTTGCATGTCCGGTTCAATTTGAAATATTATACTTAGAACACCATTGATACGAAAAGAGGGTTGTACCACTGCAGTAATTTGAGGGAGCGATCGCGATGGCTGGAGGGTGGTGCGGTTTGATGACGTCATTGAACGTCATTGATGGAAGGGCGTTAATATGCAGTCCCGACCACGCCTACCAGCATGCTGAGGTCTGGTCCGCCAATGACGTTCAGTGACATCTACGAAAGGCAAGGCAATGAAAAGCGGGGTCGCATAGCCTTCCAGCCATCGAGATCGCTGCCTTCAGAAGAAGAAATGGAGGAGAAAATAGCTTACCTGTCTGTATCCCCATGGCTGCGAATCCAGCCCACATGACACGATCCGCATGTACTTCACATTCCCGCTCGATATCGAGTTTCATCTGAAAATTTAGAACAATCGCATCAGAGATGATATCCAAAGAGGGAGAAAGTGCTCACAAAATTGAAATAAAATCAAAGCAGAAAAATTCAATCAACAACTTTTAGAGGTATTTTAATTCAAAGCGTAAATAGTAAGTAAAATATAGAAAAAAGCGAAATCATGGAGTAAAATAAGATAAAAGTAAAACGGGTAAAATAAGATAAAAATAAAACGAAAAATTATAGAAGGTCAAATCAAGAACAAAATAAAAGTAGAATTAA